ATAAATACATTTCTTCGAAAATGTTTTAATAACGTATTTACCATGTTTTTCTGGGAACAAATTCCGCAACCTTTTTATAAAATGAAGTACTCTGATTTTTATAAAGCATAAACAAAATCGGTCTTTTCTAGCCGTGATTTTGGAGATGTCACATATATATATATATATATATATATATATATATATATATATATATATATATATATATATATATATATATATATATATATATATATATATATATATGGGAGGGTTCAATTGAGAAAAAAAAAGGTTGAGAATGGGGAATCATTCTCAGCCAATCATTTATTTTTGCTGCAAAAAGCTCCAAAGTACCGGCGGAAATGGGAAACGAATGCACATGTGTTTTCCAACATAACATATTTCCTTAAACTATGCTAATCATTATCTTAATATATACAAAAACATAGTTTTTGTTTGTTTTTTTTTTTAATTTTTATAAGCTTTTTTTTATCAAAAAATGATTTTAAATATACCAAAATTCATGATTTTTTATTCTCTACAAATAGACATCCATATTGATATAGTTTTAAGATAAAATAAAAAAAAAAATTATATTTCCAGCTATCGTTATTCTTAAATGAATAACAATGCATCAGGTTTTATTACAGTACATTTATTATTAATTTATGAATAAAAAATATATATTTTTTTTTACAATTTAAGTATCATTCATATATGAATCCATACTTAATAAAAACCTCTCCTAAGTGCCATGTGTCCATCTTTTAGATTAACCTTCTTCCACGTGTCCCATTTTTAGAGCCTAGCCTTTGATTTTTCCCGCTCATCTTCTATTTCAACGTCAAAATTGAGAAAATTATAAAAACATTTGAAATTTAATCCCTTTAAATTAGCCACCAAATCATAACTGCATCTTCTCCAATTTCTCCTATATGTTTTAGAAACAAAATCATTGATTCAAAATTTAAAATATGCAAGATCAGGAATAATTGATCTTCATTGATCTTTAACCTAATCTTAGCAGATCATGATTAAAATCTGCGACCATCTCCTTATTATCTTTGTTTTCATCTTCCAATACACCCCCGACTCCCCTGCTTCACCCATCGGTTTTACTCTTTCCCTGTCTCCATGAACACCCTTGAAATTTTAATGAACAACCTTAACTCCACGGCTACACCCTACCATCGCTTATGCTAATCTAAACCAATACCCAAAACACGATATCTAAACCCACCGCATCTCTTCCACCATCGCATGACTTCCATCACTACCCAATTTCTGTTGTGTTGTATTATGTGCCACTTCCTTCTCAGTCTATTTTACTTCCGACTTGCTTTCTTTCTCAAACATCTAACGGCTACTAAAAAAGATACAAAAGAAGAAACAAATCAACGAGTTTGAAGGTAAGTCGTGTATGTTTCTAACTCCTAATGGCCTTTCAGATTGTGAATCGTTCTTTCTTTTCTTTTTATTATTTCAACATTTTCAAAAAAAAAGAGTGGGTGATAAAAGAGAGTGTAATTGAGGGGAATTTGAGATAGAATGGGTTTTGTCTCTTAGGAACTATAATCCTCTCTCTCTCTCTCATTATTGTTGTATGTTTTTAGCTTTGTAAGTAGTATTTATGGAAGTTCTTTGATAAAATGGTGAGTAACTGGTAAGCACACCATGTGTTTGTGAAAATGTCTCACATATAGTGATGTCGTGGGAAGACATGGTACTTAATTTGATAGCAATTCTTTGTATCCAGGTTTGTCTGCATTGTTCTACTAATCCTAAACCTAACCCTAATCATATTAGTTTCTCAAATCATTCATCCTATTTGATATTCTATTACAAAAAAATTAAAAGATTTTCTAGCTGCAATGAAGTCTAAATGTAGGTACACTACTGTAGCTCAACAGAGTAATGAAGCCAGATTAGTTTTTCAAACAGGTGAATATTTCAAGTTGAAGAACACTCGATATTATTGCTCTAAATAATGGAATGATACATGTTCATATCTTTATATCTTTTCATTTGCACTCTTTCTCTCAATAAAATATATATAATTATTCTAATTTATTGTTCATTCCAATAAGTTTATAATACAAATATGTAATATAGGATCCTTTAGAAGTTCAGTTAAAACAACTGTCAAGAAAAATCAAATCAAGTAATAGCAGCGGGTATTATTCAAAACCAATTGTTTGTTTCTTTTTTTTATTTAATTTCAATGAATAATTAATTAAATTATGTTAGTTCCTTGTGTCTCAAGGCACATTGTTGTTGGGTTTCATCTACTATTCTCCAATCAAAGTTTGAATCAAACACAAGCAAAATGAAACAATCCTATGCTACAAATGTTAATGAATCATGGAGTGGTAATCTCTTCTCACATGTTTTTTTGTTGTAAATTTATAAAAATAAAAAAAATTTCCAACTTTTGTCAAATTCCTAAAATACCCTTCAAGAAAAAACGAAAAAATGTTAAAGAAATCTTTTATCCTTGAATCAAGAACATTAACTTTTTTCTCTGTAATGATACTAAATAGAACTCAGGCTTTTTAAATAAAAAAATCTTTTTGTAAAAATAAATGTTTAGTGAAAAAAAATCAAAACATCATGCTTCATATATATTTTTAGGATGCTTATTTAAGTGGATACTGATATGATAATGAAGCTCATATCAAAGGACCTTATTTAAAAACCATAAGCCAAGGATAACTTCCTTCCAGGTAAGTAAATGCAATGTTTTTTTCTTTTTAATATTTAAATATAAAAGAATGATTGAAAAATATTTCTATTACAACATCTCAGTTTATATATAAAAGTGGAAACTTATGTTTTGTGCAGTGTAATATCAAATATGTTCCTTCTTCACAAAGTGACCCCCCTTGAAATTGTGAGCTCTTATCTTTCTTTTAAAAAAATTATTTACATTGTTATAATTGGTTAGATATTTTTTTTATTCAAAAGTAAATATTCAACATAAGAAATTTTAGAATTATAGCTTCTTGATTCAACATTAAAGAATTTAGCTTTTTTTATTTAAATGTGAATATAAATCTTTATAATTATAATACTTATTCATCTTCAACATATTTAACAGGTAACATATGGTGTTAGTTTTAGAGGGGATATTGTTCATGAATCTATATTTATACAAAAGGGAAGGCAGGTTATGTAATTGGTAAAATCATATGATGTAGTTGTGAAATCTTATCATTATTAGTGCAGATTCTTGATTTCTTGTGGTATTTTCAAGATTTTTTTTTTAATTATGAACTCTTTAGTTAACAATTCGATTTTCTTGAGTCATCTTATGAACATATGAGCTTAAACATTAAATCAACTGAGAAGTTTATTAGTTAATACAGAACAAAATACAATACTAAATCAACTGTGTAATACATTAGTTAAAATGGTTAAAGGTTTCTTTAATACATAATAAAATAAATAATCAAAAAAGTAAAAAATTATTATGAATGGCAAAATAGTCATTTTCAGTTTGTAGGGGCCACAAATGCAACAAAACCAAACTATAATGGATTATCCAAGTAAAAAAAATAGTTAGAGACTAAAGGCACGGATTACCTCAAATCATAGGAACCATTCATCTAATTCACTACTTTCTTTTTAAAGCATTTTATTTTGAAATTTTCAACTAAATTATTAGGTTTATAGCATCTCACTTTCATTTATTTTAACATTGATATTGTATTTTTCAAGTGGGTAGCTTTCTTAAAGCATAATGTTCTAATATGAAGTAACATCACAATATGAATTAGTTAAACTGTCAATAATCAACATATGTATGTTTTTTGTTATCATCTATTTTATCTTAATTTTTCAACATGCCTTGGTTTTAAACATTATTTATATATATAATAATTGTAAATATATTGACCGTGGTTTCCACGGGTTATAACCTAGTATAACATATAATAAACATAGTATATTCATATTTTAATATTGGACGATGAATTCACTTGTGAATATTAACATAATATATTCACTTGTAAATATTAGATGGTATATCCACTTATGAGTATTCAATGATATTTCATATGTGAATATTACATAGTATTACATGGTATATCACATGTGAATATTACAGAGTATATTCACTTGTGAATATTAGATGATATATTCACTTATGAATATTACACAGTATATTCACATATGAATATTACAAGGTATATTCACTTATGAATATTGAAGGTATTTTGACAAATATATATAATTTTTATATGTTATTCACATATGAATAACATATAGACTTGAATACTTATTTTGTGTTTTTAATAATCATATACTGATTCAGAGAAAACATATTCATATGTGAATATAACGTGGTAATTTAGTTTATGCATTTCATCAAACAGTTGGAGTGCAAACAAGTTAACTATTTTAAAAATGCTAAAAACATCAAGTTATCAATTCCAAATCATCATATACTTCCGATTTTGACTTCAGATGCGACATCCTATCTCTGATCGATTTCTCAATTTGATTTTGATTTCCGAAAATCTGATTGGGAACCTGTAAGTACCGATTCTAAATCCCTCAATGTCGATTGTGATTGCGAGTCCAGAACTCCTATTCCAATTTCATGAACAGCGAAGAAATTCCGGTTTAGTTGAAGAAATCTGGATGATTATTGAAGGTTGGAGGAAAAATTTTGATGATGAACGAACAGTTATCAAATTCTCTATAGTTACGTATTTGAGATTGAAGGTTATTACGATATTTACAAGTTTGCCACCATGTCTTTTATGCTTACATTAAATGAGTGGCTAGAATGATTCCCCCATTCTCAACCTTTTTTATTTTCTCAATTGAATCCACCTATATATATATATATATATATATATATATATATATATATATATATATATATATATATATATATATATATATATATATATACACATACATATATATATATACATACATATATATATATATATATATATATATATATATATATATATATATCAAGGTTCTAAATAACGTAAGGCGTCACTTAGCGGCAATGTCAGACCTTAAGCTTTTTTAAGCCTTGACGAGCCACGTCGTTTATAAGGCGTAACTTAAGGCGGCAATTTTGTATATATTTAATATTTTTATATGTATTTTCAACTATTTTTCTATATTATACACATATATGAGTTAAGGCAGCGTTTTGGTAAAGCTTGACAGCAGGTACAAGCCTTGGAATTATGGCGTGCTATGACAAGCTTTTTAGAACCTTCATATATATAGTGATGTGATGCACACACACGTAAAGGGTTTCCTATATTTGTTATAAGAATAAGATGAGCAACCATAATGGTGGGAGTAAGTCCACATGAAAAGAAGTCCTAGGTTCCATGACTGGAAGTAGATCTCCCACGGTACTGGTACTCGGTAACAAGCTTTGCAAAGGAAGAAGATCTATTTTCCAATAACTTTAATGGTGAATCATATTCCTGAATGAGGCCTGCAAGAGAAAGGAGGCAGAAAGTCAAAGAGAAAAAGATAAGAATTAAAAGGACGATTCTTCAGAATTCAGACCTTTTTCCAAGACTAGAACCATGTGGCCATTGAGAACAGACGTGATTCTATGTGCAATGGTGATGATAGTTGAGTCAGAAAAGTGTTGTCCTAGTGCTTGTTGTATTGTATGATCGGCCGACACATCCATCGATGCAGTAGCCTCGTCAAGCACCAAGATCTTGGTTTTCTTGAGTAACACTCGACCAAGACACAACAGTTGCCTTTCACCCATGCTCCAATTCTCTCCATTCTCACTGACTGCGAATAGATAAGAATGAATCATAATGCATGGCTGTCCACACAATTTTAAATTTCATGTTGAAGGGAGTGATTAACAAAAACCTGTAGAATCAAGCTTGTCTTCCTTCCTCCTAACTTCATCTCCCAACTGGCACTTATCTAGAGCCTAAAATATATATATATATATATATATATATATATATATATATATATATATATATATATATGTTAACAAGAAGCTATTCCAGAAACTACAACAGAAGTTATCCATCCTACCTCCCAGATCTGTTCATCAGTGTAATGTTCAAGTGGATCCAGATTGCTTCGTACACTCCCATGGAACATGGGTGGATCTTGAGGGATTATGCTCAATCTTGAGCGTAAATCATGAAGCCCAATAGAGGATATATTGATCTCATCTATGAAAATTTCTCCCCCAGTAGGTTCAACCATGCGAAAGAGTGCTTGTATAAGAGTCGATTTACCACTTCCTGTTCTTCCTACGATTCCAGTCTTTGTGCCACCATGAAAATTGCATGTAACTCCTCTTAACACAAGTGGCAAGTGTGGGGCATACCTTACCTACACACACCACCAAGTTCAAGTTTCTAGAGCTTTTGATCATATGATAAATTGGCATTTTGAAGGTGAAAGTCATTACCTGCAGGTTGAGTACCTCTACTTCTCCAAATGATGGCCACAAATGGTTTGGCCTGGTTGATTCTACAACAAGAGGTCCTTCCTCAGGGATAGACATGTATTGAAGTATTCTTTCAACTGATATAATGCTATTCTCCATGCTGCATAGTTTCCATATTGCTGAAGCTTGTAGGATGTTTATATTGAGCCCATACGTGACTGCTAACCCCGCAATACCTTCAAGATCATTTTATTTTTTTATTTTCTTTTTTTAAATAATAACGTGGCTAGGCTTAGAAAGTATGAAAAAGGATTCACAAGAACCAAGTTTTGCTTACTTGGATCGATGGTCCCATTTGGGACAATGAGTAAGAATATTAAGAATAAACCAAACATAACAGAGGACAACAACTCCACTCGGAATGATAGCCACTCTATACAAGCAACACTATAAAACTTTGGTCGCGAATATCCATCAATCAGCTTCATATTCATGTCTTCAAATCTGTGTTGTTGATGAAAGCTCCTGATGGTTGTTAAACCTGACAAGGTTTCTGAGAAATGCTGTATGATCGGGGCTTTGCAAACTCCCACCAGTCGTGCTAACTCTCGTGCTGAAGACACGTAATATTGCTACCAAAAATAAATAAAATTTAACATAGTTAATATATATATATATATATATATATATATGGTTATTGTCAGTAGAAAAACATGACATACCTGCAACCATACACAAATAGCAATAACTGGAATGAAAACCAGGAGCACCTGCCAAGAAATCTGAGACATGATTGCAATGACAGCTAGAATTTGTACAACTGCAAACACAAAAACGCCAACTGCATTTGAAATTGTCAGGTCCACTGCAGTTTGATCTGTGGATGCCTGTATATTTACCATTTAATTAAGTTAAGCCAAGATTGAGTACTTTTATATTTTAACAATTACATAAAACACAAACAAGATACTTACTCTATTTAGAATGCGCCCACTGGGGGTAGCATCAAAGAACGACATGGGAGCATGATAAATGCATGAATGCATTTTATTGAAGAGTAGATTGGCTGTCTTATACCCGGCTGTTGTAAGACACATGGCTCTTATAAATATGCAAAAAGTGCTTCCAAATGCCAAACTTATATAAACAATTATAAGTGTAGATCCTCCAACCGGAGGTTTCTCCCCTTGTGACACAGGTGATGCCCAAGCCAACCAGTAATTGCTTAACAATTGAAGTAATTCATAAACAGTTGCTGCTACAAGTATACAGGGCACAAGTGCTCCTCCATAAGCAGTTGTAATGTATTTCCAGTATACAAAAAAACCAACGCTTTCTTTCTCTCTTTCTTCTTTCTGAACCTGTTGTTGTCTTTTTGTTCCTTCCGACTCAACTTCAACCCTATCTTCCTCCATAACTTTTGTTTCGTGAGATCCAAAGCTAGCCTTTATCGAATCAATCACTGATAAAGCTTGGTTACGAGCATTGACAAGTTCCATAAACTCACTTCCTGAATTCAATAAGTCATCATACCTTCCAGCTTGTTTGATCCTCCCACCTTTCAAGACCTTGAAAAAATTGAGTACAAATTGAAGATGACTTAGTGCTTTCATGTAGTTGTATGTACAAATGGAATAAAGAAAAAATCTCAATAATTCACCAAGACAAGATCAGCAGCCGGCAAGAACTCCACTTGATGGGTGACATAAATAACTGTTTTTGAGTTGAGAAATTCCAGTAAACATTCCTGCCAAGAAAGTTTGAACAGAATGAATGAACAAGGAAAGCAATTAATTTTCAGAATGGAAATAATGTGTTACTCACTTTAAAGAGATGGCTTCCTGTATGAGCATCAACTGCACTAAATGGATCATCAAAAAGATAGATGTCAGCGTCTTGATATAAAGCACGTGCTATCTGTAATCTCTGCTTCTGACCACCACTTAGATTGATTCCCCTCTCACCTATGAATGTTTGATCACCAAAAGGCAGAACTTGAATGTCTTTCTTCAAGGCACATGCTTCAAGAACCTTATCATACCTTATCCGGTCCATATCTTTACCAAATAGGATGATCTCTTCTATCTTTCCACTCTGTATCCATGGAGACTGAGCAACAAAAGCTTTGCTACCACTAAGCTTTACACTTCCTGACAGCTTGGGCACTTCTCCCAGGATACATGAAAGTAAACTTGACTTTCCTGACCCAACTGTACCACATACAGCAACCTTGATGCCATGAGCAACTTTGATATTTATATCCTTTAGTACTGGATCACAAGATGAAACATCCCATGAAAAACTTCCATTGGTTATCTCGATTGCAATATCACTATCACCTCGGGGGAATATCTCTACAAGGCCTGAATCTAAGTTATCAAGACAAAGGTATGAGGCAATTCGATCTAACGAGACTTTAGTTTGGGCTATCATTGATACTGTATCAGGAAGATTGTAGATTGGCTGTTGAAGTATTTTAAATGTTGCAACTGCAGACAATATCTTCCCTGATTGAAGAGGGATCCCGAAAAGCATACATGTTCCAAAAGTGACCACAGCTACAAAAGTAGGCGCAACCCAGAATATGGATATGATTGTCGATGAAGTGGATAAAAACTTTTTCAACCACCCTGTCTCATGACTCCTAAGATCCATAATTTTGGACAAAAACTTCATCTCCCATCCCTGAAGTTTAAGTATCCTCATATTCCTCAGAGTTTCAGATGTGATTTTCATCCTCTTATCTTTAGATTTCATTAACTCGTCTTGAAACGTGTGTTGTAGTCTCCCGAGAGGAATATTAGCCAACATGACGATACTGATGGATACTAATGCAGCAAGTGAGGCAAACCCAAGATTGAGATATAAAATTGTTAATGCCAAACCAACCTGCATGATTACAAGCCATGGATCATGTATATACCAACCAAAGTCTCCAATTCTTTCGGCGTCAACGGCAATGAGATTAGTAATCTCACCGCTGGAATGGGAATTCCCCGTACTAGAAAGATTCAAACCCTTTTGGTAAATCATAGCAACAAGAGCTGCCCTAGCCCTAATTCCACCTTGTTGGAGCTTGAAGAACCAATGTCTTTGTGATATAGACTCCACGAGTTTGGCAAAGAAGAAGATGAGAATAAAAAGATAACCCTCATGTTTTGAATCTTGTCTTGTGTTGAGGAATTGAACAAATGCATCTATGAGGTAAGGACCAACATAAGAAGCCAGTGTGTAAATAACAGCGAGGATTGCTGTAACTATGATGTCCTTCCATGTGGTATGGATCAAGGCCTTGACGAGGTCGAAAGTAGTAGTGAGTTTTTTATCATCACTCTCCAAATCCAACTTCTTTTTTAAAATGGGAAACGATCCTCTTACACTATCGATACCGAAAAGTTGAGGAACATCCTCTAGGTCTAATGGTTTTCTGTGACCAAGTGCAACCAATGGGCTCAACCAAGAGAAAGTGAGAAGGCTAAAGATACCACACACATACTTTGATCTTGCTCTACTACTACTACTTACAGGACCAATATTGACGTTGCTTAAGAGCGGTTGTTGAAGATCGTTAACCGAAATATCTCGATTGGCTCCGACTCCCAGCATAATTATTGCATTTTCTAGGTATTATGATAAATCAGACATCCTTATATTCAACAAAGGCTTCTAGCCTCCCTGAGGATTCAAGAGTAAATTATAATATTTGTATTTACGGATTAAAAAAAAAAAAAAAATCCTTATATTCTTTTTAAGGACCATATCTAGATAAAGACGTATCCAAATTAAGAAAAGACCAAATTACACGAACGGTCCTATGCTGTGGGGTAATTTGCCGTTTGAGTAATTTGTATTGTTGGTCTCTAATTTATTTTTTTAACTTGGAAGGTCTTATTATTTGCTTTTGTTACGCGTTTGGTCCCTACTGTTTATTTTTTGTTAAACGTTTGGTCCATGTCTTACCCAAAAATACTATTTTTTAAATAGATAAAAAATAGGGGTAGATAAGGTAAGGTGAGAGGGTAGGGTTGGGGTGTGTATATTTATATAAATTAAAAAATCAAGGGCAAAAAAGTTTTTGTAGAAAAGACAGGAACCAAGTGGGTAACAAAAACAAACAGTAGGGACCTTCCGAGTTAAAAAAATAAGTTAGGGACCAAACACACAAATTACCCTGAACCATAGGGACCATTCGTGTAATTTACTCTTAAGAAAAAGAATTTAAAGAATTCAAAAATATCATTATTTTATATGATTTCTGGAAAAAAAAAAAAAGCAATAAAAATATTTAATTTCTCAAAAAAAAAAAAAAAAAAAAAAAAACCAATATCAACTTAAAAAGACCGTGTATTTTGTTGTATCAGAATAGCATGTAAAAGAAAAGGGAGCTAAGCTGATATACATCCACATAACTTTAAAGTAAATTGACATTTTTGCCCCTACCCACTTATCTCCCTTTCCCCTCATCTTTGACCAGCCGGGGTAAAAGGTAACTGATTTCATTTTGTCACCTGAGAGAGCTCCTAAACTTCCTACGATAATAACAAAACGGGAGAAACCAACTTCAAGAAACACATAATCATTCAACCATGTGCGTGTATCAACTATCAAACACAAAGTAGCATTGAGCAAAAGACAAAGAAAGAAAGCTTTGCGGTTGTGCTCTATAAAGAAGATGGGGAGTAGGAGGTGAGGTAAGGGTGTAAGTTGGGTCCCATCAAAACAATTAGAGTACAAATGGTCCTTGTGGTTTGCTCAAAATTGTCATTTTGGTCCAAAAAAGTTTGAACTAGCACCATAAGTCAAAAGTTTTCATTTTGTTGCGAATTTTGTCAAAAACACTTTAAAAGTTCTTAAAACGACGGATTTTCCCCTTTCTATTTGTTTTTCCCTTTTCTTTTTTTACTTTACTATTATTTTAATATTTAATTACAAATGGGTCTCTCTCTCTCTCTCTCTCTCTCTCTCTCTCTCTCTCTCTCTCTCTCTCTCTCTCTCTCTCTCTCTCTCTCTCTCTCTCAAAGAACTTCACCATTTTTCTCTCTTCCTTGAAATAGGTATATGCAAAAAAAAAAAAAAAAGGAATTAAGTTTCGAAAAGTGCCGAAGGGATAAGAGAAAGACAATCAAAGGTGACCACTTGTTGTAGGAGATAACGACATTAAGGTAAGTAGAACAACATGATTGGCCAACTTTTTTCATGAATCGATTTCATGTGAGAAGCGATTGGTTCCTGAAATAGATTGGTTTGAATATCGGAGGGAAGTTCTTACAAGCATGGCGACCAACGGCAAGATTGCTTCGAGCAATATGAAAGTCATAATAGCATAGGAATCTTCCTTCGCTAATCTTCTGCCACCCCTAATAAAAAAAACCCTAGACACACAGATAAAGTGCCAATTTCTGCAAATTTGTTCTCCGATTTACCAATTTGTGTCGCAGCAAGTGATGGTGGCAATAGGTACAATTTACTTGAAGAACCTTCTTCATCTTACCTATACTTCATCATTCTTCATCTTACCATCAAACCATGAATAAAGAAACCCAAATGCACTCTACCACATTTTGGTGAAGTTGATAGGAAAGGCAATGAACTAATAGCCAAGTTTAGAGATTAGTTAGAGAGCATATTAGGCTCCAACAAGTGGCATCGCTAGAAGATTAATTCTTATATGAGATTATTTCAACTCTTCAACATCTGGACCCAGTCGATTCAACATCGCTGTCGCCCCATCTTGATTCGTTGCTGCTCCAACATCAGCGGGATTACGCCTCACATGAATCTTTTCTTTAGTGGCAGGGAAAGGATGAGATTGTGTTTTCCAATTGGGCTTCGTGATTGGAATGATGACGGAAAATGATTGTTTTCTACGATGAAAGGGGGCATTTCTCATACGATATCATAAGAGAAGAGAAACAGAGACCTATTTGTAATTAAATAATAAAATAATAGTAAAGTAAAAAAGGAAAAGGAAAAACAAATAGAGATTGATAAATTCGTCATTTAAAGAATTTTTGAAGTGTTTTGGACCAAACTCGCAACAAAATGAAAACTTTGAACCTGTGGTGCTAGTCTAAACTTTTTTGAACCAAAGTGACAACTTTGAGCAAACCACATGAACCATTTGTGTAGTTTAATCAAACAAATATTTAAAAATTATTTTATTTTATAATAGTTTAAGTAATAAAAAAGAATGAACAAAATAATTATTAAGGGTAAAATAGTCTTTTTAGGTATGTGAACAAACGTGCAACAAAATACATTTTAGGACCGTCCGAGTTGAGAAAAATAATTAAGGAAAACTAAATGGTTTTTTTATACACCATGAGAATGAACAAAATAATTATAGATCATTAAGGGTAAAATAGTCTTTTTTGGTATGTGAACAAACGTGTAACAAAATACATTTTAGGGACCGTCCAAGTTAAGAAAAATAATTAAGGAGAGCTAAATGGGTTTTTTTTATACACCATGTCTACTTTTGTTAGGCATGGAAATAACGTCACACTTACCATAATCCACCTAACCATTAATTAGGATTTGTCATGCTATCTCAACTTATTGTCATTTCTAATGTGTAGGTTTTCATTCTTGTCACGTTCATTTTTTTTAAATTATTTAAAATTATATTTTAAATTCTTAAACATACTATTTTTATAAAACCTTAGGATTTATTAAACTGGAAAATAAACTTACCACAAATAAAAAAACAAACATAAAATCTATTTTAAAAACACAAGACTAGAAATTAAAAAACATCACAAGACCACTAGAAATTAAAAAACGGTCACACTAGAAACTTAAACACATATCACACTAGAAATTAGAAGACAATGAGTTCAAATTTGAACAAATTTTAGGAATTGCTTCATAATTTATGTAACGCCCGTATTTCTAGGCTTGCCATTTTTAGCAATGTAATAGTCTAGGTTAACCTTGTAACTCAACTTGAAATAATAAGAATGTATTATTTGTGAATTATTTGAATTATTGATTTATGTGTGTATTTTCTTAATTTTTATAATTTAATAAATTAAGAATAAAATAAGCGTCAAAATTTAAGTGTGAGATAAGCCCGACATCTTTGCATAAAGTTGTAGTGGTCGAAACAAGGATTCCGGAGATATAAGGAATGCCAAAATCCGAGTTATAACGAAGAAGTTATGACCTGTCGAAGTTTCGCGACAGAACCGACACGACGCCGAGTGACGTAAAATATGAATTTAAGATAGAGCGATATTTAGCCTTAGCAATCTAAACGAAAGTCGTAGATTTCGTTAAACCGAGAGCGTGCATAAAAGGAACGCCCAAATCTGACTTCGTATGAGGAAGTTATGATTTTATGAAGTTTCGACTTAGCAGTATACAACCCGAATACTCGATTTGAGATCGAGCGGTTTTTAGCCGAAACAATCTAAATGAGAATCGAAGATCTTGTTGTTAGTAGCGAAGCAACGAAAAGTTAGGCGAGAACGGACATCAGACGAAGAAGTTATGAATTTATAACGAAGTTTTTCTGTCCCGGCCTTCTAAAAATAAATAATAAAAATAAAAGTCAAAATTAGCCGACGGAGTCTAAATGAAAGTTGTAGAGTATGGTCTGACCTTCGCGTGGATATAAAGAACGTCGAAAACGGAGCTCGTATGCGAAAGTTACGCAATTTAGAAGTTTGACAATTCAATTACGCCCCGCGTAATTTGAGTACGCCCCGCGTACTCAGTCGGATGCAACTTGTCTGACCAATACTCGAGTGCCACCAGTCGACGCACGCAGTGACGTCAAAGTACGTCCCGCGTAACCCGGGTACGCCCCGCGTAATTTGAGTACGCCCCGCGTAATCCCAGACCCAGCAGCCTATAAATAGAACTCGAATTCAGCCATTTTCTCTTGTTCAAACTCTTCCCTCTCTCTAAGTTTTGCCTCGTTTTGCGTGTCGTTTATACCCCAAAGCCCCGGTAATATTCCCGAGCCCCAAAGTAAGATCCGAAGCCCCGAGGATCCCGAAGAGCGTTATTCCCGAGCCGAAACGTTGCCCGCGAGGAGCCCGGTTTTGTGAAGATCTTCCAGATCTACGGAGAAACACCTCTTCTGCAAGCCGTAGTGCTGCCCGATCATCTTTTGATCAAGTGAGTGTGTAGTTATTTTCATTCCAACGCAATATTATGAAGTATTTCCTATAAAATACGTGTTATGTGTATATACTTGGTTGTTATACGTGTGAGTGTATATTCACTCTCTTCTATCTTATAGATCTGATGTATTCTCTATGAAATACGTGTTATGTGTGTATGTCTCATCTGTTATGTGGAATATGTATTGATTAAAACATGTTATACAGGTTTTTAAACTATGTATAAAAATGTATATTTTTATCTACTAATATGTTGGGTAGAACATGGGTAGATAATTGGTGTGTAATAAACAGATGAGAGGCCTCGGTGTTATTGGTGTTATTCTAGTCATTCAGCAGAGTATGGATGACGACCACGGACTATTCTAGACTGTCCTGTGGAACACTAGCAGGCTCATTACCTGTAGGTGTTGTGAACGACGTGTTCACCGGTGTACTCTATCCCCCACATGGTTGCCTTTAGGACACTTATTGTTG